GGAGGATGTTTTTCCCACTTGTGTGCCCCTGCCCTCCCCCCACCCTCCTGCCCAGGAGCGCGAGAGCCCCGGGGAGGGGCTGCCCTTCCCCGGGGCCCGTTCTGAGCTGCCGGTTTCCCCACCCCCGGTGGTGCGGTTGCCCTGAGCGGGAGCTCCGCATCCCATGTTCCTCCCCCCCCCCCCCCCACCGTGGCCGCTGTTTCTTTGTCGTTTTTGGTGCCGAGTGATTTGTAGACGAGCGTTCAATAAAGAGGAGTCTCCTTGCTTTGTATCTCTCCCGTCCCAGGGCCCCTTTATTGGACCGCTGGGGTCCCCACCGCCCGGCCCAGAGAGCCAGCAGGATAGGAGCCTGGGATCTCGGCGGAGGGTTCCGCCCCGCTCTCTGCCCGGCCCGGCCATTGGGTGCGGGTGAAAGTCGGCCAACCCTTTGGGGCCCCAGGGACCGGTTCGGTGTCTCCACGGATCGGGGCCCTGTCCAGTGACTTGGGGGGGTCGGGGCCCCCCCGATGGGGCTCATCTGCTGGGGGTCCATTGCCGCGGGGGGGCTGCAGAGGTGGTCATCCAAAGCGCCTTCGGGAGGAGGGGAGGGGAGGCGAGAGAGGGTCGGCGCTGAAGCCGGCTCCCCAGACGACCCAGAAGACGAAGGCAGCCGTCCAGATCGCAAGCGCCGAGGGCGTCAGGCCACTCCCTGGGAGACAGAAGGCAAGGCCGTCAGCAGAGAGGAGAGGATGGACTAGATGACCCCTAGGGGACCTCGCCAAGACTAGAGACGGGGCAGGTTTCCAAGGTAACGGGCGGTCGGGACCCTTTTCGGTCAAAGGGGGAGGCGGGATGGGTTGCCGGGCTTCACGGGGACCCCGGGGGTGTCTCTTGATGGGGGCCGGGGGGGAGGAGGTCGCTAAGTGGACCACTCCCCCCCCGCACGAGGGGTTCTAGGCCCACGAGGGGCGCACAAGCCCTTCCCCGGCTGCCGGAGAGGGGAGGGGAAGCTGTCCCCACCTCCGTCCGTCCCTCCCGGGGGAGGCCTGGCCTGGCCTGGCCGGGAGGCTGGGATTGAAGCCGCTCCAGGTGGCGGCCAGTCCTCGACTTACAACCAGGGCTGGGACGGGGAAACTTCCTTGCGGGTGGAAGCCGTCGTTCTGTGGAGGCCCCCCCATTTGACAACCGTTTCTACAGGGGTGGGGAAGCCCCCCGGGGTCCCTGAAGGGCATCCAGCCTCCCCCGGATTGTATTTCAGCTCCGTTGGGACCTCCTACAATCTCTCCTCCCCGCTCCCAGCCCCCCCTCCGCCTCCCCCCCCCAATTTCACCCCCAGAGGAACCAAAGCAGGGAAGTTGGGCTGCCCTCCCTCCCCCCCTCCTTCCCTCTTTCCCTCCCTCCCTGCCTTCCTCCCTCTCCCTCTTTCCCTGCCTTCCTCCCTCTCCTTTCCCTCCCTCCCTTCCTTCCTCCCTCTCCCTCTTCCCCTCCCTCCCTCCCTTTCTCTGGAGAGCCCTGGAGCCGCAGGGAGGGTCCTCTGGGGGCCCGCTGTAAAGCGGGCTGGGGAGGGCAACCGTTGGGGGGTCCTACCTGCGTTGGGGAGGCAGCTGGGGGCCGTTCCCGACCAGGTCCCGCCCTCCTGGCACAGCCTGCTTGCCGAGCCCACCAGGGTGTAGCTGGGGTGGCAGCGGAAGTGGATCAGGGAGCCCTGGAGGTAGTCAGTCCCGATCTTCTCCCCGTTGGCGGGTGGGGCCAGCCAGCCGCACGAAACCACTGCGGGGGGGGGGGGGGGGGGGAAAACACACCGGGAGGGGTTCCAATGGACCAGAGGTAAAAGCCTCCTGCCCCCCTGAAGGGACCCCCTGACCCTTGGCCAGCCTCCCTGCGCCGGCTGAGTCCGGCTCCCAGGTGGCTGTTTCAGGTGTGGCCCTTTCCCTCGTCCCTCCTCTAGAGCGGCCATGGAGGGGGCGGGGGCTGTTGGGGTCCGTGGTGCCCTTTGCACAGCCAGTCCACCCCTCCACACACACCCCCACCCCCGCATCCAAGGGGCCTTGGCTCTTCCTTGTCGGCTGGAGAACGTTTGCACCTGGCTGACATCTGCCCACACCTGGTGCCTCCCCTGGGGTGGCTGCTTAGCGTTGCCCTCCGGTGGCTTCAGCCTCCCAGCGGAGTCAATCGAGTCCAGCCGACTGGGGGGGGCTGCCAGGAGCTGCGTTGGTGGCCAGTCTGGACTGGGAGGGGGCAGCCGGAAGGGCCTCGTGGCTGCCGGCTGAGTTCTCCCGATTCCCGTTCCATGCTGGGCGTAAAATGCCATCGAGCGCAGGCAGCAGCCGCCTCGGCGGGGAAGTTTTGGTATGTGTGCGTGTGTGTGTGTGTCGGGGGGGGGCTACCTGGCTTCAAGTCCTGCTGGAGTTTTTGGAAGCGCTGGTGGGAGTCCCTGGTGAGGCTCCCCAGGGCCAGGTCCCCGGTGGTCAGGGCGTCGAAGCGGCAGAAGGGATCGCCTTGGCAGACGGAGGCCACCTCCTGCAGGAACGTCCGGTTGGCGTCTCCGGGGACCGCAAAGGAGGGCAGGAAAGAGGCGTGGTGCTTCGGCCCGTAGACGAAGCTCTCCAGCAGCGCCCAGCTGTCGTAGGTGAAGAGCGAGGTTGCGTTGCTGATGGCCCCTGGCAGGAGGGAAGGAAGCCGGAAGCCTTAAAGGAGGAGCCGCCTCGGACAGCGGCTCTCTCCAAACCCGCTTTGGCGGCCGATGCTGCCCTTAAAACGGGGCTCGGGCCGGTCAGGGGGCTGCTTACCACGGATTGGCGGCCTGGACCGGGGAGGGGAGGGGGAGGTTGGGTGCCACACGAGCCCCCCGTTCTTCGGGTGGGCAGGACCAGGAGACTCACGTGCCCCAGTTGCAAAAACCCTCTGACTTAAGAGAGACAAATTTTGGGGGGGCTTTACTGCCGTCTCCCCCTCCCTCCCCGCCCTCCGCAGGCGAGAGCCTCCCATGGATGGAGCCGGATCAGATGAACAAAATACCGGGAAAGGACGCAATCCGACCCTTGAGGGAGCACGTTGGAGGGAGGGGGATCCCGTGATTCCCGGGCGGGACAGCAGCCCTTGAGGCGGAGGGGCCTTGGGGCACTTAGCAGGGCCCAAAGGAGGACAGCTGGGAGGGCCTGAGGCATTCTGGGGAGGCCTCTGGATTTCTTCGGGGTTCCCTTCCCGGTTGCCGGGCCCTTCCGCGGGGACCCTCCCCGGCGGGACTCACACGCTGCTCCGAAGGCGAAGTGCTCCCGGGGGCCGCTGCGGGCCACATCCAGAGCGGTGCCGTTGGGGAGGGTCAGGTCGTCCTCCGGCCTGCCGTTCATCCGGCCCAAGAGCCCCTCCGTCTGGTCCTGGAAGGTCTCCGGCAGCAGGACCGTTAGGCTGAGCACCTGCCCTCCGTGGCCGCTGACTTCCACGCCGGCTCCGGAGGAGAAGAGCACCGAGACGTTCTGCCCAGGGCTGCTGTAGAGGAAGAGGCCTGGGGGGGTGGGGAGAGCAGGGGCGGGATGCTAGCCGGAGTCCCACTGTTGGGTTAGGGGGGTCGCGCCCCGGTTCCCCCCGACGCACCCGCTGAGAGGAAGAAAAAGCGCCGGGACGGCCGGGAGGGACAATCCTGTGCTTCTCTGTCTCCTCTCACCGGTTTGGCCAAAGCGGCAGCGCAGCCACCACCGGGAGACACCCCGGTGGACCCCAGGCAGAGCTATTCCCCAAGCGGGGGTCCCAGACAGCCCCCCCCCCCTTCCCCCCCCCCGGGTCATCCTCCCCCCTCAGCAGGGAAGGGCGCCCCTCCCTCTGACCCGGTTGCGGCTGGGAGCCGTCCAGAGCCCCGTGGCGGTTCCTAATTCCAGGGGGCAGCTGGAGTCCAGGGGGGAGCCTTGCTCACGGGGAGACCCTCCTGCCGGGGATGCCGCCCCCCAACCCCTGAGCCTCGGCCGTGGAGGGGAAGCAGCAAGGGCTTCCTGCCTGTGATGGAGAGTGGCCAGCGGGTCCTCCTTGGCCAAAAGGAGGACCCGGGGGGGAGGCAGGTGTGGCCTGGGAAGCATCCTGCTCTGGCCACCAGGTGGCGCTGCTCTGTGTCTCGTCATTTCGAACAGAACAGAGCAGGAAAGGCCCCTGGGAGGTCTTCTAGTCCATCCGCTTCTTCAAGTCGAACCTAGACCATCCCAGGCCAAGGGATTGTCCGGGAGCTGGGGCAGAAACGAAAATGGGGCCACTCCAAATGGAGGGAGAGGAGAGAGGGTCTCCCCCCCTTCCTCGGCCTGTTTGCCAGCAGAAGACGCCTCCCCCCTCCCCCCCTTTGAAAGGAGCCCACGCGGAGGAAGTTCAACAGACGGACCCAGCCTGGAAATCGTGCTCAACCTGATGACCTCTTAGGTCCCTTCCAACTGTGGGATTGCCCGTAAGGTTTCTCACCGCGTCCTTCCTTCTCCTCCTCCTCCTCCTTCCTTCCTTCCTTCCTTCCTTCTCCTCCTCCTCTTCCTTCCTTCCTTCCTTCCTTTCCTTCCTCCTCCTCCTGCTCCTCCTCTCACCGTTTAAGTCCATCCAGGTTTGTTCAGAAAAGTTGAGGGCCTTTTGATTCAGCAGGACCTCCAAGCCGGGGGAGTTTTCTCCCAAGCGAACCTCCACCACGTCCGAGTTGTTCTCCCGCATGGCGATGGCGGAGAGGCCGGTCACGTTGGCTTGGGCGCCTGCCGGGCGGCAGCAGCGCAGTCACCAAGAGGTCAGGGGGGGAGGCCACCCCACCCCCACCCCAGGACTGAGCCTGGCCCCTTGCCCCCCACCTCCGCTTAGGATAAGTCACCGCAAGACTCCCGTTTGGAAAGGCCGCCTGACCCTGGCTGGGCTTTGGCTCCAGGGCGACCGTGGGGCTCAGCGGTGGGATCCAAACCTTTGGAGCTGCCCACCGGGGGAGGCTAGCAGGGCAGGCGGCCTCCCTTGGGCCCCTAGGGGTGGGGAGGGCCTTAAGGGAGGGGTCCATGGGGAAGCATCTCTTTTGGGGGGGGGAGATTAATTGAGAGCACCTGCTCTGAGCTCACCTGAGCTCACCTGAGCTAGGGCAGAAAGCAAAGGGGGGGGAGTTGGTCTTTGGGGTGGGACCGACCCCTTTCCTGGCTTCTGCCTGAAGGGCGTTACGTGCGGAATGGAAAGCGGCGCTCAGGACAGGGAGCAGCCCCCTTAAGAGAGAGGTGTGGGGGTGTCATTCACACAACCAGAGTCGGGAGGGGCCTTCTGGGTCATCTAGTCCAAAGAGCCCCCCCCCTTCAGCAGGAAACCCCGATTTCTGACAAGGGGTGTTGAAAGGCTGGAAAATGCCTTTCTTCTGAGGATTCGGTTTTCCTGCTGGGACACAGACAACCGCTTGGAAGCCAGTTTATTTTTCAGGAAGGCAAGAGATAGCAAGAAGTCTGCGTTCCTGGGGCTAGCCATCTTTGTATAATAAACTCCTGATTTTTATATCTTTTCTCCTTTTGTGTGTGAGTGCTTGTGTTTGTATTTCTTAATGTTTTAAATCCTGTCAGGGGGTTGTCTTCATTTCCGCCAGAGGGTAAACTCCGCGGGGTGGTTTGATTGGATTATCAGTTTCATCCTAATGTTTTCTTATATTTGTTTGGTGGCAATCTCCTGTCTGCTCGTGTCTTTTGTCTATTTGTTTTGCTGATTTGGCATGACCTTTTGTTTGTAAGGGATTTCTTTTTCTTGTTTCCCCAGCTTTCTTAATTACTTGGCTTCTGTCTAGGGGGCTTCTTCCAATACCTTTTCTTAAATCTCTTTTCCTATGCAAGTTTGTTTTATGGCTGGCCTGATGTTCCCTTTGGGCTTTTCCTGCTTGGGTGTCATCACTGTCCTCAGGAAGTTCCCTTTCCACAGGGGGGGCAGTCCAGTCTCTCCCCCAGTGGGTAAACGGGGGAGGGGTGACCAACAGCTCCCACTCCCTGGGAGAGAAGATATGTCAATCACAGGGCCAAGGGCGGGAGGGAGAGGAGATCCACCCAATCCTGCAGGGTTTAGGACAAGGCCCTTCCAACTTCGGCAGCTTGGAGACGGGTGGACTTCAACTCCCAAAATTCCTCCTGCAGTCCTGTTAGCTGGGGAATTCTGGGAGTTGAAGTCCACCCGTCTGAAGGCTCCCCAAGTTTGGGGGGGCCTGGTTGAAGCCCGGGAACCCCCCCCCCCCCCCCCCCACGCGGTCCTTTGTGGAGTCCTCGGGCTGCCCCTCCCCCCCAAATAGAGGAGGGGTGGGGAGAGGCGGCGCTCGGGGAGGGCGGGGCAGAGCCGCACCTGGCGCTCCGTTGAGCCGCCGCGTCCTCCCTTGGACGCTCAGGTCGCTCCGTCGGGATCCCAGCAGCAAATATTCCCCGAGGCCCTTGAAGGTGAACTGGAGGCCGTCGAAGGTGAGGAAGTGCGGCTCGCCGAAGGCCGAAGCTGCGGGGAAGAAAGGGCGAGCCAAGCGGGGGGGGAGGGAGGGAGGGGGGAAGGGGGCAGGTCCTCGTCCGCCCGTCCCCCCCCCATGGCAGCTCTGCCTTGCAGGGACCCCCCCGCCGCCCCCCAGGTGGAGTCCCGCCCCCGCCTAATCGGGGCTAGCTTGGCAGCACCTGGGCTCCCTCCCTCCCCGAACTCAGCCTGGCCTCTCCGGACGCGGCCAGCGCCGCCCCTCCCCCTTCAGGTAATATAGCGCCCCCCCCCCAAGAAACTGCAGGGCTTCCAGGCTGCCCTCGGCCGCAGCAGCAGCAGCTCTTCCCCACCCCCCTATCCTCCTCCTCCCTCCCCACCCCCCCTCGGCCTCCCTTCTTTCCTCGTCTTCTTGCTCTCCTCCTCCAGGGCGACCGCCTGTCGAGGGGGTTGAGCCCGAGGCTGGTGGGGGGGGGGGCTGGCGAAGGATTCCCCCCCCAAAAAAAACCAGAATGGGTCGGAGGAGAGCGAGGAGTGGCGGCAGCTGGCGAGGAAGCCCAGGCAGTCCTGCCCTATTTGAGACTTGGGGGCTTTGCAACTCCCAGCCTTCCCCAGCTTAACACGAACCGCAGGAGGAATTCTGGGAGTTGAAGTCCCCCCCCCCGTCTCAAAAGCCGCCAAAGTGCTGGGGGAGAGCCCCGGGCCCTTTTGCTCCGTCCCGGTCCGAGGGGAGAGCCCAGGAGGGGACGACGTACCGGCTCGGGGCGGGCGGTAGCGCTGGCAGCCGCTGGAGGGCCGGCGCTTCAGGTAGACGGCGCAGCGGTCGGCCCAGAGGCAGCAGGAGTAGAAGCTGAGCACGTCGTAGAGCCAGTGGGAGAAGCCCGGGATGCGCGGGGGGTGCTTGTAGGGCGGGGCTCCCCAGTCGTGGCCTCGGTCCGGGGTGCTGCCCCCCGCCGAGTCCTCCGTCAGCACCTGGACGCCCCGCCGGCTGTAGCAGCACTGCTGCCCGGCGCCGTATCGCGGGCTGCGGGAGAGGAGGACGGGGGAGGGGGGGGAACGCTTCAATCAAGCCTGCTTGCAGACTTGGTGGACTTCAACTCCCAGAATCCCTCCGGTCCGGTCCCGTGAGCTCAGGAATTCTGGGAGTTGAAGTCCACCAAGTCTTAAAAAGTTGCTTTAGGACCATGGATTGTTTTCCAGTTTGTGGGGGTGGGGGGGATGAACTTGGGGGGGTTGCTTTCCCTGGCTGAGGGCAGAAGAAAAGAGAATAACAGAGTCGGAAGGGACCTTGTGGGTCATCTAGTCCAAACCACCGCCCAAGCAGGAGGCCTGAGGGCAGTTTCCGACCTGAGGGCGGAGGAAGCGCCTCCTCACCTGGCCTGAACGCTCCGGACACAGTGAATAGCCCCGGGGTGATAGGTGCAGACGCTGCCTTTCTCCATGTCGCAGCCATAATCCGTCTGGAAGGGGAAGAGGCTCAGGTCAGAAATCCCTGCAGGAAAGGATCGTGGGGGGGGTGGTGGATTTCGCTCAGGGCATCCAAAGCTCCAGAGCAGTCAAGGCTGGCTTGGCGGTTCACCCTGGGCAAAGGCGGGAAAGAGACCCGTCTGCCGAGGGGCTCCTGTCTCGCTCATTGGCTGCCCGGGCTGCCCAGTCAGTGGGCAGCATTGAGGGCTGACGGTGTTTGGGGGGCTTCCCTCGAGAGGAGGGTCAACACCTGGAAGGGAGGCAGGGAAAGCCCCTCCCTTTGGCCCGCACCGAGAGGGGGAAGACGGGAGGGTCCTGGCGCTCCCTCTGCCCTCCTGGGCTCCTCTTAGTGGGGGCGAAGGGAGCCACAGGGCTGGGGCCAAGAGGAAGCTGGAGGGAGGAGGAGGAGGAGGAGGAGGAGGCCTCACCAGCCAGGGGCCGTCCTGCCGCTGCCTAACGTCCCTCCAGGGGCAGGAGAGCCGCATTCCCAGCTGGGAGGGGGAGGCAGGCGTAGGAGAGACTGGCCCCTTTCCCCCCCCCTCCAGCCCCAAGGGGACCCCTTGCAGGGCCTTCTCCACCTCTGCTCTGGCCAGGAGGCCCCACCCGTTAGGAGGCCTCCCCTCCCTCCCTCTCCCACCATCCCATCACGAATGCCTGCGTTGGGCCGGAGCCCTTGGAAGCTGCAGCCCTTCCTGGCCTTTCGGGCAGCCCCCCCCCCCCTGAGCCAGCCTGGGAGGGGCCTGCCTGGAGCCTCCCCCAGCGGGGACTTACGTGGAAGCGGCCAAAGTCGGCCCGGGCTTGGCTCAAAGTGCAGGGACAGTCGGGGATCTCCTGCAGGAAGGCGGGCAGCCCGGCCTCCTGGCGGTCCCACTGCTGGCACTTGGCCGCAGCCCAGCCGACCGGGTCCCTCCGGAAGGCCTCCTCCAGGTGCCAGGCCATGGCGTGCTCCGGGCTCCAGATGGCAGCCACGTCTCTGGGGGGGGGGGGAGCAGGGGAGAGTGAAACGGAAAGGCTCCGTCCCTCCCAAGGAAGAGCAAGTTGGGAGAGGCGGATATTTGGAAGAGGCTCTCCTGCTCGAGCAGGGGGTTGGACTAGATGACCCGTAGGGTCCCTTCTGTTAATCTAATCTAGCCGCAGCTTCACCAGGAAGAACTGGGAGAGGCCGGCTGGGTGGGAGAGAGAGAGAAAGGGGGCCGGTTGCAAGCAGCCCAGTGGAGCCGCCCTCCCACTTTCCCCACACTGGCCGGTCGGTCGGGGTCACCTGGCGTGGCTTCTGCCCTGCAGGGGCCACCGGGATAGATACTCACGGCTGGCCTTCGGAGGAGCCGTTGCCAGAAATCCTCAGGGCACCCATTTCCCAGCCTCCAAACCGAGCCGAGGGAACCGGCAGGAAGGTGAATTGCCCCGTATTTGGGTAGTTCCGCTGCAGAGAGTAGAGGTACTTCCACTCGGCTGTCCAGTTATCAGAATAAGGCTGGCCTGGAGGAGGGAGGGAGGGAAAGGAAAGGAAAGGAAAGGAAAGGAAAGGAAAGGAAAGGAAAGGAAGGAAGGAAGGAAGGAAGGAAGGAAGGAAGGAAGGAAGGAAGGAAGGAAGGAAGGAAGGAAGGGAATGGGAGGGAGGGAGGAGGAAGAGAATGGGACGGAGGGAAGGAAGGAAAGGAAAGGAAAGGAAAGAAGGAAAGGAAAGGAAAGAAGGAAAGGAAAGGAAAGAAGGAAAGGAAAGGAAAGGAAGGAAGAGAATGGGAGGGAGGGAGGGAGGGAGGAGGAAGAGAATGGGAGGGAAGGAAGGAAGGAAGG